GGGGCCTGCGCGGAAGCCTTGTTTCCGGCCACAAGCATGAATCCAAAAAGAACACCAGGCCCCCGAGAATGTCGAATCGATTTTTTTCAGAAATGAATTCAGAAACAGCCGGATGGAACCGGGAAGCGTTGTTGATTGATCACCAGCTGTTCACTCACTTGCTTGGTGGAGAGTGCAAAATGAGGAAATCGAAACAGCCAACCTGGCTTGATACATAAAAAAAATCATCGGCCCCCCTCGGCTTCCCAAGTTGTAATTATGCAATGGAATACATGTGCCGTTTGTAATTCTTATCTCAGTTCCCAAGGCGCCTGCAAATAAAGGGCTGCCCCGTTACAATCTTGACTAAACAAACAGACCAACTGGGGAAGAACAAAGGTCAAAAGCTCGGCTCTGGAAAAGACTGAGATAATTCATGTATAAGACACGTGTAAATCAGAACAACTTGGGACAAGTAGTAGGGGCACTTTCCCTGACTTTAGAAATCACCTTAAATACTGATTTGGCGGTGCTTGCCAAAATGGCTGGAACCCAAAACTGTAGCTTTCCTTTTGTCTCCCTTTCAACCAACCTGACAAGGTGCCACACACACCCATTTCAAGCCATGAGAAGTCATGGAAAGAATTCCCTAAATGGTCCTGGGTGCCCCCCTTGCTATGGCTCTGAATCAGTAAAGGAACTTGGATGGTTCTGGCGGAATTCCCTTTTTTGTGGACCCGACAATTCCCTCTGGGTTCTCCCTCTTTGTGGGTTCCCTTTTTCTGTTGGGTTCTCCTTTTAGGTGTTCCTCTAAAACCACCACACAACGTGGTACCAACTCGACCAAAACGGACGGAGCCGTGTCCATTGGCCCGTGGCCGAGCGGCTCGTCCCAGAGGTTCTCAAACCTCTGGGTGCCCTGCCGCCCGCCGCCCCAATGGATGTTCTCCTCGGGACCCGAAGCCACCGATTGCCACTTGCGATAGGAGAGACGGGGTGTGGGTTGAATGAACCGGGCGTTTGGGGAGTCGTCGAAAGGAAACCGCCAGTCGGATTGTTTATAGGGGTCATTCCATTTCTCATTCCCTGCTGAGCACTAGCAAGGAAACGGTTAATACCCTCATTTGGGGCTTGTAACATGCCGCGGCCGCGCCAATCCAAGGGTGAGCATTGCAAGATCTGAATGCATGTGTACTACGGATAAATTTCATAGGACCTCGCACATGGGCAAAGTAGAGAGGTCCCCTGGTTTGTCGGTGGGGAATCATGCACCCGCTATATTTGTCAATAACATAAGCCACCAATCCAAACCACCAGTTAAAGGATACTTGAGCAACATATTGCTGGGTGAAAACTAGGGTGATTGGAGAAAACATGTTCAAAGACATCAATCCCCTTTTTGGTTGCCTTTAGGAGGAAGAACACATGATATATGTTCAGTGCACCCCGGATTAATACACAGCGCCTTGTTTGCTGGTATTCTGTTTGGTGTGCACCAGAAGGGTCCTGTTTCTGAGAAACACCCACTCACTTGCCCAGGGCCCAGAAATTTCAAGAAATGATCTTGTGGAACCCTTGACTGAATACGCCAAAAGGGAGCAACAAAAGGACAACAGTTTGATTCGCTGTGTACAAGCGGGCCCCAAAATGGTGGTGAGACATTTTTAAGGGGACCTCCAAAATGGACCGAAATCGTGTTTGTCCTTTTGGTTTACCTTAAAACTGCAAAAGGCAAAGGAATTACCTTCAAACAGCCACCCCTACATCATCGACAGACAGTTCGGCTCCGTCCTTCGAGGGCTGACACCCCGGCTGGGTGGGGTTTGCGGCGCAGGTGGCCCGGAAATCCTCCGGGAACTTGAACTCGGAGCCGAGGCCATTGGCCTGCCTCCTCAGGTTTCCAGCGATTTTTTTCCAAAGCCCCTAGGCGATGATCGATCCCGCCGACCACTTCCCTGCGGAACCCTCCCTGAAAGCGGCTGCGACCAGAGCTTGTTTGGGCAAAGACCGAAAAAGGTGAAGGGGAAGGGGGAATGATTGAATTGCACCCAGTTTTAGGGGAAGGGGGAAGTAGATATTCAGGGCACCAGCCGGTTTTGGAAAAAAAGTCCAGGCTGCCCAGTAGTTTGGGGTAGTTGATTAGTTTTCCTTTAATTGGTTTGGAGGCGGTGAGGTTATGGGGCTTCCCATTTACCGTCAACAACAAGGGGTTCAAAAGCCCCACCAATCCAAAACAACAGATGAAGGGGTGGAATCCACTGCAAAGAAAAAACAGGACAAACAGGCACCACTGGGTGAGTTTTAGGAAACACACATGCAATCTGAAAATCTACTTTGCGCCCGAGCGGTCTACCCAAGGTCATGTGAAATGTGAAGAACTAAAGCCGGCTCAAACAAGCCTCGAGGCCGCACCGCGCTGGGACTTCCAGCCAGAATGGATGGTTTCCTGTTGGTTCCCATTACCAACCCCCCCCCCCCGAATGGTCCGCATGTTGCACAATTTCAACCCCTAAAAACGTGGAAGCTCGCTGTGTTTACACCCGAACCGGTGAGCTCGCAAATGGATGGCTATCCTCTCTTTTTGTTTTGCTTTGAACAAGCAGCACACCCTGAAAACGTCCCGCTACCTGAACCGACAGAGTCAAGGGAGGGATTTACGTTGGTGACACGCCTGGCCATGTGTTCCCCGTAAGCCGCGGGCGCCAATGTGCTAATGAGATGTAGACAATGTATGTATAGGGTATAAAGAGCGTCTACCTGGGGCACCCTAAGCGCATTTGGTTGTTCCCCTTGGGGAAAAATAAAGGAGACTCCCAGCTTTGTGCGCTGACCATTCTTGCAGTCTTGGGGTTTCATCTTTGACGAGCCTTTGGCATGCATGTATGTGTGTATGTATCTATCTAAGTATCTCTGTCTCTATGTATTTATGTAGCCAGGTAGCTACGTAGCTAGGTATCCATGTATGTATGTATGTATGTGTCTATGTATCTATATAGCCATGTATTTATGTATGAGTGTATGTGTCTATGTGTCTACGTACGTATGTATTTGTTCCATCAATGTACGTACCAATGCACGTATGTATGTTTGTATATACGTGTATGTACATATGTACGTATAATGTGTGTGTGTGTGCGTACGCATGTGCACGTACGAACGTGGATGTGTGTGTGCATGTGTGTGTGCATGTGTGTGTGCATGTGTGTGTGCATGTGTGTGTGCATGTGTGTGTGCATGTGTGTGTGTGTGTGTGTGTGTGTGCATGTGTGTGTGTGTGTGTGTGTGTGTGTGTGTGTGTGTGTGTGTGTGTGTGTGTGTGTGTGTGTGTGTGTGTGTGTGTGTGTGTGTGTGTGTGTGTGTGTGTGTGTGTGTGTGTGTGTGTGTGTGTGTGTGTGTGTGTGTGTGTGTGTGTGTGTGTCTGTGTGTGTGTGTCTGTGTGTCTGTGTGTCTGTGTGTCTGTGTGTCTGTGTGTCTGTGTGTCTGTGTGTCTGTGTGTCTGTGTGTCTGTGTTTCTGTGTGTCTGTGTTTCTGTGTGTCTGTGTGTCTGTGTGTCTGTGTGTCTGTGTGTCTGTGTGTCTGTGTGTCTGTGTGTCTGTGTGTCTGTGTGTCTGTGTGTCTGTGTGTCTGTGTGGCTGTGTGTCTGTGTGTCTGTGTGTCTGTGTGTCTGTGTGTCTGTGTGTCTGTGTGTCTGTGTGTCTGTGTGTCTGTGTGTCTGTGTGTCTGTGTGTCTGTGTGTCTGTGTGTCTGTGTGTCTGTGTGTCTGTGTGTCTGAGTGTCTGTGTGTCTGGGTGTCTGAGTGTCTGTGTGTCTGTGTGTCTGAGTGTCTGTGTGTCTGTGTGTCTGTGTGTCTGTGTGTCTGTGTGTCTGTGTGTCTGTGTGTCTGTGTGTCTGTGTGTCTGTGTGTCTGTGTGTCTGTGTGTCTGTGTGTCTGTGTGTCTGTGGTACTGTGTGTCTGTGTGTCTGTGTGTCTGTGTGTCTGTGTGTCTGTGTGTCTGTGTGTCTGTGTGTATTTTTGTCTGTGTGTCTGTGTGTCTGTGTGTCTGTGTGTCTGTGTGTCTGTGTGTCTGTGTGTCTGTGTGTCTGTGTGTCTGTGTGTCTGTGTGTCTGTGTGTCTGTGTGTCTGTGAGTCTGTGTGTCTGTGTGTCTGTGTGTCTGTGTTTCTGTGTGTCTGTGTGTCTGTGTGTCTGTGTGTCTGTGTGTCTGTGTGTCTGTGTGTCTGTGTGTCTGTGTGTCTGTGTGTCTGTGTGTCTGTGTGTCTGTGTGTCAGTGTGTCAGTGTGTCTGTGTGTCTGTGTGTCTGTGTGTCTGTGTGTCTGTGTGTCTGTGTGTCTGTGTGTCAGTGTGTCTGTGTGTCTGTGTGTCTGTGTGTCTGTGTGTCTGTTTGTCTGTGTGTCTGTGTGTCTGTGTGTCTGTGTGTCTGTGTGTCTGTGTGTCTGTGTGTCTGTGTGTCTGTGTGTCTGTGCGTCTGTGCGTCTGTGGGTCTGTGTGTCTGTGTGTCTGTGTGTCTGTGTGTCTGTGTGTCTGTGTGTCTGTGTGACTGTGTGTCTGTGTGTCTGTGTGTCTGTGTGTCTGTGTGTCTGTGTGTCTGTGTGTCTGTGTGTCTGTGTGTCTGTGTGTCTGTGTGTCTGTGGTTCTGTGTGTCTGTGTGTCTGTGTGTCTGTGTGTCTGTGTGTCTGTGTGTCTGTGTGTCTGTGTGTCTGTGTGTCTGTGTGTCTGTGTGTCTGTGTGTCTGTGTGTCTGTGTGTCTGTTGTCTGTGTGTCTGTGTGTCTGTGTGTCTGTGTGTCTGTGTGTCTGTGTGTCTGGTTGTCTGTGTGTCTGTGTGTCTGTGTGTCTGTGTGTCTGTGTGTCTGTGTGTCTGTGTGTCTGTGTGTCTGTGTGTCTGTGTGTCTGTGTGTCTGCATGTCTGCGTGTCTGTGTGTCTGTGTTTTTGTGTGTCTGCGTGTCTGTCTGTCTGTCTGTCTGTCTGTCTGTCTGTCTGTCTGTCTGTCTGTCTGTCTGTCTGTCTGTCTGTCTGTCTGTCTGTCTGTCTGTCTGTCTGTCTGTCTGTCTGTCTGTCTGTGTGTGTGTCTGTCTGTGTGTGTGTGGGTGGGTGTGTGTGTGTGTGTATGTGTGTATGTGTGCATGTATGCATGCATGCATGCATGTTTCAAAGTATCTCTTTATCTTTGTAGCCAGGTAGCTATGTAGCTATGTATGCATCTACATTCCCAAGGAGGTTTGATATAAACAGCACCGCAGCATTTTCACTCCAAGCGATGCTATACGAGTCTGATAACCCACCTTTGCCTGTGGGATTTGCGTTGGTATCCACAGCATGAATTTCCTCATGCTGTGGCCCAGTCAATTCGCCGATTTCCTCGGCACATCGGGTTTACCCCCGATAAGCTCTGGATGCCCTGCATCAAGCAGGATACATCTCCCACCACAGAGCTAACTGACTGACTGGGGGCCTGGTCCCCCAGGCATTCCCCAAGCGCGGCGCGCTCTTCAAGGTTCACGGACGTCCCAACTAGGGGGGCCGGTGAACCAGGGCGGGATAGGGTGGGGTTAAAATTTAGCCAGTTTGGATCATACTTGAGCCAAAAGGCCCCGCATGATCCAATACACTCCTTGCAGAATGAAGCCTGCAAACCCAAGCCTTCCAACCTGATACAGGATTACATTCCCAAGGAGGTTTGATATAAACAGCACCGCAGCATTTTCACTCCAAGCGATGCTATACGAGTCTGATAACCCACCTTTGCCTGTGGGATTTGCGTTGGTATCCACAGCATGAATTTCCTCATGCTGTGGCCCAGTCAATTCGCCGATTTCCTCGGCACATCGGGTTTACCACCGATAAGCTCTGGATGCCCTGCATCAAGCAGGATACATCTCCCAAAGCACTTACTTTCACAACCTCTCCCAATGCACTCACAGGAACTCAGCGAAGGTAATCACGGCTCGGTACGGAAGCCTCAGAAGAGCTGGGGGGAAAAGACTGAAATTCAGCTTGAAGTTGTTGGCCCTGTACCATGGGTCACTGGGTCCTAATTGGCTGATCGCGTCGGCCCAATTGGATTTGGATGGAATGTATTCCCAATAAAGTGAGGCTCGCAACGCAAAGAGCAAACACTGAATGTGCGTCGCCATCTTGGCCAAGTCAGGGTTGTCACTTCTGCCCCTGATCAAACACATAAGACTGGCGATGTTATCGATGAACCACACTCCGCGTCTCCCGCGGAATTGGTCGGGTCTCGCCGTTGAATAGCTCCAACTGGGCTATTTTATGGTCGCCTGGTCCCACATGTCATAGACCTGCAAGGGGATGACGGCCACAAAGGCTTTCCGGATCTGCACGCCACCGTCCTGGAAGACCAAGTGGTATCCACCGGACCCTTGACGGGGTGCCTCCAAGGCCACGTCCGAGGCAGCCACCACCCTCGGCACGTCCATGGGTAAGACCAGCTCCCTCCTGGGGCGCATACTGGTGCTCCTTTAATGCCTGGATCTCGCCTAAACCGATGCGCCCGAAGAGGCCATGCTCCAGGAAGTTGACCATGCCGTAGAGTTTCGCGGCTTGGCCTGGGGTGAACTTCCCGCTCTTCCTGGCGTCACGCATGAAGGTGAGCACCTTCTGCTCGAGTCGCTCTCGAACCCAAAAACGCGCACGCCCATGTGTGTGGATCTCCGAGAGGTTGAAGTCAAGACCCAAGAAGGTACCGGCTTCGAGCCGGGTTCTCCCGCAGGGCCCCCCTGCTATCGTCCGCTATAGCCTGGAGCTGCCTCAGAATCCAGGAACATGCCGCATTGTCCACATCCACCCGCCTTTGGTTCTTGGGGTCAAGCCCGGGCAAGCCTTCGGGGTGTACCTCAGACCGCAGCGGTTTGGGACCTGGGCGGCCGTCCGCAAAGGTTCTAGGGATCTCTCTGGCCCTGGATTTCGTGGAGCAGTCCAGGGCTGCTGCTGTGAAGGCTGCTGACCGCATAGGTGCCTCCAGTGCTTGCTGCCTCAACGGGTTAGACAGGTCGTGCCCCGGATCCAGCGACCAGTCGATGGGCAGCACCCTCCAGCCACAGAAGAGAAACGCCTTTGCCAGGGGCATGTTGGGACCACACATGAGGTCGACCATCAACGGGCCGTCTTCCTGGGATCCGGTGTGGGGGTGCGAGAGTTCTGACCCTATGGGCCCTCCCCCCCAGGGCACCCTCAAGACTTCTTCGCCGCCCGACACTCCTTGGCTCCGTGGTTCTGCATCCCGCAGACTTGGTCTCCCTGAGGATCGCAGCGCACCTGTGCTGGCCGTTGGGGCACGACTGCTTCGCCAACGCGGGTTTACCCCCCCCGTGCTGCCGGCTTGGCAGGTGACGCCTTGATGACCTGGCCCAGCGTCAGGGTGGACTCCCTGAAACGGCTCACCCAGTCTGCCCTCTCCTCGGTGTCCCTCTGCAGGAGCCATGCGAGTCGGCTGGCATGGGGCAGGCTGGCAGCGCATGACCACGTCCAATGGCACGAAGACGAACTTCGTGGTGTCCGCCCCGAGCACGTCTTCCTGCTTGGCCAAGGGCGCGTTGTCCAGCGCCTTGACCCCGCCCAGAACGTAGGCCAGCAGCAACGTGAAAAGCCTGTCCAGGTACGTCTCCCAGTCCTGGTGCCCGTCGTCCGGCTCCTCCGTCCACAAGCCTTCTCCAAGCTTGCGCTTCTTGCTCGAGGTATCGAGCTGCCATTGCAAGGTTTTCAGGAAGCCCTGGACACGGCCGCGTCACTGGGGTACACTTCCGTGGGGAATCTGAGCTTGTAACGCACCCAAAAGGCTTCCTTGGCTGAGCTCAACTCGGTGTCCCCGAGGAGGGAATCGAGGTCCTCGATAGCGACCCGCGAGCGGTCCTGCTCGGCGGTCTTATAGTACAACAAGACCGCGTGCCAGGCTCTCCGCAATCTGGCTGCTTGGATTTGAGCCTCCGCTCCCAACTGGATCTTCCCAAGCCAAGGTTCCACCTTGGCCTCGGCATCGAAGAAGCGGAACTCTTCCAAATTGGCGATGCCCGCCTTGGAAAGCGCTTCCACTACCTCCGCTGCCAATTGAAAATTCTTGCCGAGCCTGTCCAGGCAATCGGCTCCGTCCGACGGCACAAGGGAAGCCGCCATGCGATTTCCAGGGGAGAGACACAATCACTCGGGCCTCAAAGGCTTCCCAAATCACGAAACGGGAGGGGGGAAAAGATGGGGCGCACAGCCGAAATCAACTCAACCCTCGAATCATTAAAAGTTGCATGGAAAAAGAGACCCCTGGCGTGCACTCGCCGGTTGATCCGCATTCCGGCCGACGGCCGTACGGGAGGTAACGCCCCCCGGCCTCCTCCCTGGTATCCCCAGGGTGCCTGCCACGGTGCATGGTGACTCGGTTGAAACTGTCTGAAAAACGAATGCCACATGGTCGACCGGCTATGCTCCGTGACTCATGCATGTCGGGGCAAGCTGGTGCCTCACCCTGCCGTTCCCGTTTTCCACACGGAAGAATGGATCAGGCAAATGGGGGACTAAATTCGGGCAGCCCGAATCCGGCGCCCAAGGGCCAAAATCGGCTCACTGGGGGAGGAAACTAGCCGGGCACTTGCTCATGTCCGGCAAAAGCGCTGCTCCCACGCGATGGCCTCGAACCTGTCCGACGATCAGCTCGGCGAGCTGCCTGCTTGCTCGCCAACGCCTGATGCACCCATCCGGCCAGCTTGCGGCCCTGCAGGGTCTTGGTGATTTCCACATCGCGGCATCTCCGGATTTCCCCCGCCGCATCCGCCAGGCTGATCCCCTTCAGCATTGACAGCCACATCGCTGCCGCCAGAGCGGCTCGGTGACGCCCCGCCATGCAGTGGACGATGACGACATCTCCATCGTAGAGCGAGCGCCGCACCAAGGGCCAGATCCGGTCCCAGTCCTCCTGCCTTCGATCGGGCGTGGGCGATGGCGAAGTACTCCACGTGAGCCCCGGACAAGGGAACACCTTGCCGCTGGGCCAGCCTCTCCGGGAAGCAAACCACCTGGAGGCTGCATGCTGGGAAGGCTGCAGCCGTGACCGCCGTGCGGATGCCCGCCAAGAAGAGGGCTCCTCCTTTCACGTTGCTGTAGATCAGCGATGGGATCTGTGCGGACTTCCCCCTCACGTTGCCAACCGGTCCCATTTGCTGTCAGCCGGGTTCAGGCCCAAGCACTCCGGGATCTCCAAGAAGTTGCCCGGGACCTCGGCTGGCTCTGCTGGGCGCCTGGGGCGGGAACCTCGCCGATCTCCGCATCCTCAACGTCCACAACGTGCTTCTCCGGCGCCAACCCCTGGTAGTCCTCCAGCCACTTGTCAGCCCAGTGCCAACCGTTGGAGAAACGGGCTGGTGCACCCCAGTCGAAACCCTGTCGGTTGTGGGCCTGCTTCCCTTTGTGGCAGTGGCCACGGAAAAACTCCCTGCTGATCTTCCGGACTGGACAGGCTCAGGTGCTTGTAGCGCAGGCAGCCCGCTGCCACGAGCCACGATGAAAGCGCTGCTGTCCACGCTGGATCGCGGGCTTGCTGCATCTCGATGATCTTGCCCTCCAGGGTGAGCAGCATGGGCGGTTCCACCACCACTGCCACCTCGCCTTGCGCACCTTCCCAATAACCTTGGGGGGCTTCAGGCGGTCCAGCTGCCACTGCAACCTGCCATTGTTGGACAGCCAGCGCAAAGACTGCAGCGCTCGCGAGGGCGACATAGCCTGCTCGAGGAAGGCGTGAAAGTCCAACTCCTCTGGGTCCTGCACGTCCCTGGCTGCGAGGAAGAGCGAGAGCTCCTGGAACATCCTCACAGCGTTCAGGATCGTGGTCGCCTCAGACTGGGTGACTCGTTCCTGAGCAAGCCTCCGAACCGCTTGCTGCCAGTCAGCGTAGCGCTTCGGGTCATCATGCCTCCGAGGCCGAAGGACACCCAGCTTCATGAAGGCTGTCAGCAGGTTGACCCTGCGGCCGACCGCCTCGGCGTTATCCGGGTTCTGCCTCAACCGCAGGCCCACATTGCTCGTTGGGAGCTGCACCGCCGGCCGGCGGAGGGTCGATGGCCCCACCGGCGTCACTCGCCAGGGATCCACCTCCACCACTGCCGCAGCTGCCGGGAGAAGGTGGGCTTGCTGCTCCGCCCGCACCCGCGCCCATTCAGCGGCTACGAAGTGGCCACCCACGCGGACGGCATCCTCGAAGGCCTCAAAGGCGAAGCCGAAGTCGGAGTCCTGCATCAGCCCGTGCTTCTGCCGAAAGGCACGAACGTTGGCCTCCTGGACACAAGACATGAGCCCCTCGCCAGAGCCGCCCGGGTCGCCCCCGGAGTGCTCCATGGCTTCAGTGGCATAGCGCCCAGGAGTAGCGTCACCGCGAAACGCCATGGCTAGGAGCAGCACCCAGCCTTGGCAGCAACGGATGGGGCAGGCTTCACATTGGTGGATGCCGCATGATGCGCAAACAGAATGAGCCCTGCTGCCGCAGTAGGCGCAAAACCCGCCCAAAGGGAGGTTCCTCCTCCCTTCGTCCAGCCACCCACGGAGAAGCCTCCCCGCTGTGGCTTTGGCCAGGGAGTCACCCTCCCTGGGCCATGGCTCGGTCCAACTCCGAGACCCCAAACTCCATCTCCTCCAGGTCCGCATGAAGCCCCTGAAGGATACGAAGGGGAGGTCGCCCGATTCCACCCGTCCAGCAATGGCGGAGACATACATCGTGATGCCCAGCGGAGGCCACTGCCTGCTTCAGCCACCATGGCCTCTGACAGGCGATCCTCCTCATAGCACCCATGATAGGCGGCCCAGGCCTCCTCTGCAGATACACCTTCTTGAGCCAAGACTGCACGCCGACACCAGGTGCCAATGAACGGGAACTTGAAGCCGCCACGAGACACGTCACATCTTGCACACGGGTCATCGGTGCAGGGTGCAAATTGCAAGTGGGGTATCTCCCCACTATCAACCAAGGGCAGGGGTGCTTGCATGAAGGGGGCACGCAACACTTCCACAGCCGAAAGCCAGAGCAGCCGGGCCTGGCCCTGATTCCCCTGCTCCAGCAGAGTGCCCACATGGCGCTTGAAGTCGATGTAGGCGCCTGCAGACAAGAGCGGCCGATCCGTGTGGACGGCCAAGTCAACTCCTGGAACTGCCAACATTCGACAAGTAACCCTTGCCGAACACGCAAAACCAGAAGTTAAAATTTAGCCAGTTTGGATCATACTTGAGCCAAAAGGCCCCGCATGATCCAATACACTCCTTGCAGAATGAAGCCTGTAAACCCAAGCCTTCCAACCTGATACAGGATTATGTATCTATGTATCTATGTAGCCATGTATTTTTATGTATGTGTCTATGTACGTATGTATGAGTGAATGAATGTATGTACCCATGCAAGCATGTTCGTATATATATATATATATGTATATGCATATACTTATATATATATATATGGTGTGTGTGTGCATGCATGCATGCTTCATGTACATGGGCATTTACATCAGGCGTTCCGGCGGAACACGGGCCGGCAGATGTCCCTTCGGGCCCGTGGGACTGCCGTGCGTCGAGGTGTAGGAGATAGGCATGCACCCGCTGGCTTGCGCATTCCTTGGAGTCAAGGGGAGCTATGGGGTGATGGATGGGGATGAGGATGGGGGTGCTGTCTGCCTGGATAAGCCAATTTGAGAGCTCTCTTCGTAAGGCCTTAAGCTGATAGCCCTGCTTCTTTGGTGCCCATGGCATGCGCAGGCCTTCAGCAGGATGGGCAACGGTCAGAAACAGGCCACAAAAGGTATGCCCAAAAGGCATTGTTTTATGAATCATCAACTTTACATGTTCATCAGCGGGGAATGCCCAGTTGGGGTAAGTTGTTTTGGCAACACGACTCTAGACAACTCTCAACGAACACAAAGCTAAGCAGCGCAGCAACCGCAACTACCTCATGTTCCAACAAGCTTTTCTGGGGCTGCAACCTCAAGACATCTTTGCCAGCCAACCCCTGAATGTTGCAAGCACCTAACTGAATGTTCGTTGCAGCCGCCGGCTACGCACGAAAAGAACCAACACACGAGCAAACGTGTGAATCCTGCCAGGAACAGTCTGTGGACGGGGGACAAAACTGCCCCTGGAATCCTCTCTCAGGCGACTACTCCTAGGTTCAATCAGTCGCATTGCCCACTTGAGACTTGAGCCACGATCAATAGTATTATTTGTGCACCGCAATGGGAATGGAGGTTCCCTGACATATTTCTGGTAAAGATGTAAACCTAGTGGCATAATAATTACCTTGAACGCGGGCGAGGGTTGGGCTGAGTCCAGTGAAGCGACATCCTCAAAAGGGACACATCTCTCAAATATATAATGCTAAGATTAAAACCCCATCAACATTGTCACTTTAAGAGACTTTTTGGAGCAGTAGCGGAGGCGCTCTGTGCAGTAAAGTAAAAACACATGGACTCGCCTACAAAGCGGAAACCGACCGGGGCTCATCCACTCATCCAGGCCCGGCAACCTGCAAAAGCGACTGTGGCCCGCCGACAACCGACAATAGCACCCGTCACCCATGTGAATAAATAGTATACGCATAGATCTGTGTACACACACACACTTGCATACATCAAGGGCTAAAAGGATCATCCAAACAAAACCTCATCCCGCTTTGTTCCAAGGCGGTCCGTGAGTAAACACTGCATGTCTTTGCCCACGTGTATAAACATACAATACTCTGTATACACTCATCCATGCTCATGTTTGTACACACCAACGGGAACTTGGTAGTTTATGCACATTCCCACCCCCACCCCACCCTGCCCCACCCCACCCCTACCCTACCCCACCCCTACCCTACCCCACCCCTAAAAATACAGAAAGGGGATTTGAAGGAACTGAAAATCATTTCTGTATTTTTTCTATCAACCAATGAAAAACACATTGAAAAACCAAGTATCAACTAATAGATAAGGTTAATAAATCACAACCTTATTCATTCTAAGTAATTCCTAGAAAAGATACACACCTTCTCCATTATTTTTTCACTACTTAACCTATTTCATTTTACTATTTGTTTACCCTTATTCATTTTATATTTTAAGTCTTTTTCCAATTCTCAGAAACTCCAGTTGTTCTTCATTTTTTCTTTTTACCTTATTCATTGTTCACGAATTTTTCACTCAGACTTAAAAATATGACTAAAACACATTTCCACCTTTAATAATATTTGTTTCAACCTTATTCTTCAACTGGTTTATCATCTTCTTCATTACTTAGTTTTTGGTTGTCCTTTTTCTCAATTCTTTTCCTTCTCGCTTTATCCACAACTTCCCTACACCTAATACAATATCTGTATATGCGACCAGTGCTTCTAACTCCAAAGTCATTAACCTTTTTCCAAGACAAGCACCTAGTGCATTGATAATCGTATTTACATTCTTCCAATTCCTTTTCAGGTATTCTAGTATTTATTCTCCAAAGATAATCGCGCGAATCCATGATAATATATAATACTAATAATTCTTTATACATTTTACCAGTAAAACCCGTAATTACCAATACCAACTCAAACCAAACAGCCAAAGCACATAACCAAATCAAGAAACAAATAATAATTCAATCTTTACAAACGATAAATATATTACAATTATAACATATAATATTTTACATGTGATAATCATAGTATGATTAAACCTGTTTTTAGTGTTTCCAGTCTCCTATGTTGTTCCAAGAACTGCTCAAAATGTTTCTGATATTAGACCAGATTAAGTTAACGTCATAATCTTTCATTGGTGCTCTTTGTTGTATTAAATAACGCAACACTGATACCAAAGTATAATAATTACAATGCATTGTTGTCATTCCTCCTCTTTCATTAATACTATTACCATTATGTTTAACGAGTTCTTCTTTCATTATGTTTTCGTAAATCTCTTTTATCCATTGATGATTTTGTTCTCCATACTCAGCGAACATATCTGGATATATATCTTTCATTGTTTTATCGTTTTTAATTATTTCAATGACTTGTTTATACGATGGATAGGGATTATCCTTAATGAAACTCAATATTATCTTTCTATCCTGTTCCAGCTCTTTTTCTGTCACTCCTAGCATTGGCATTTTCCTCTTATTATATTAAGTATTTATTCCTTTAAGTCATTTTACATTATAATTATAACATATAAGGGTATAAATGTTATAATCATAGTATGGTGATAATTTAAGTTTGGGATAATAATTTAATTGATGATGAGTTGGGGCGTAGGCGTGATGGGACCAATCCCACAAACTTGGGACCCGAATCCCCGAAAGTTGGGACTCCAATCCCCTAAACTTGGGACCCGAATCCCCGAAAGTTGGGACTCCAATCCCCTAAACTTGGGACCCGAATCCCCGAATCCCACGAATTTGGGACTCGAATCCCCAATCCCACGCATTTGGGACTCGAATCCCCTATTTTTGGGACTGGTGTCTTGTTTCTTTAATCCGTCAAACTCACTAAGATTTCACAAATTAATTCGCTAGGTATTTTGTATAGGTCTTCCTGCTTATGTATTGTTGGATTGTCTCCCCAATTTTCCTTGGTTCCCGATGGAAGCCGTTGCGCAGTTTCAATATGTTTATTATTCCTGATGTTGCCACAATCCTTTTTACATAATTCTCTAGGTTTCCAAGTTGTAATGTTATTCCATAGCCTAGTCCTCTTTCTATAATTAAATCCATATTTACAATAATCAACATCTTTAAAATCAAACTCATCCATAAACTCCTGATGCTTTAATAATCCAGTTTGTGGATTTTCGATTACAAAATATTTAGGATTGAAATATTTGATAATCTTAATAGTTTTTAAGACAATACGATTTGCATATTCGATATTCCTAATTCCCCTAGTTTTTGCTACACTATATTCAGTGCATGGGGGACTACTCCAAATAAAATCAAAATGGTTTCTGTCAAACTGTTTGTAATCCCACTCCAAAATATCAGTGTTGATATCAGCATTTTTCAAGTCTAATGATATTACATTAAATCCAAGCGACTTTGCTATGGTTCCGACGCTTTTTGTTCCGCTAAATAATTCTAATAAATTCATTTATTAGAATTATTTAGATATTAATTATTCAAATAATACATATACTTCATCATCATTTTTTGTAATTTTATAAAACTCTAATGTTTGTTGCTTTGGTTGTTTGATTTTTCCTGTATTCAACATATCACAGTATTTCTTTTGCTTTGTCGGGTAGTCGCCCGATGGTCTTCCTATAGATTTTGCTTGAAATATCTTTTCGATTTTTTCTTTATCTTCATTGCGTTCAACTGGTTTCATTTTGTCATCAATGGATTTAATCATATCATTTAAGGTTTTAATATTTTTACCAATTAATGTTATCTTCTTCATTAAATCATTAATAGTATAATTCTCATTTTCAGACATTACTATATATTTATTTAGATAATTATTTATTTAATTATACGTTTTATTATATAATTTACCTGAATAATTTAATGTTATATATGTAAATAAATTATATTCTAAGAGTCTTTCACCAATTTTATTTTTCAATTGTATTAAACCTTCATCGTTACCTGTAATTTCAAAAAACTTCAACATTTTATCAAATTTATCTGGTTTAGTTATACCTTTCATAAAATATTTATTGTTAAATTTAGCATCTAACCAATAAAAATATTCTATACTCAATTGCCTAGCAAAGTTTTTATCACCATCGAATATATCATTAATTTCTTCATCGTCAAAAGTTATAATTCTATGGTCTTGTCCATTCATAGTTGGCATTATGATTATATAAATAATTAGATATTTATTTAAATATTTATTTATTTATATTTATAAAGTGCAATTATGTTAAATCTACTCTTTAAATACTAATTTTTCATGATTTGTTTAACAGTTTCCTGAGTTTCGTTTTCATTATTATCGGTTGGTGTTGCTTGCCTACCAAATTTAAAAGTTATACTATGGACATCAGTTTCTAAGTTGATACTGTCTTTAGTTTTATCAATATTCATTTTCTTATCATTTTTACTTATTTTGAAACTTGTTGGAATACATGAACATTTACAACTTTTATTATTTTTTATTTCTAATTCATTTTTAAGTTCTAACATTCTTTTGCATGTAGGACAAGCAATCTCAAATACTGATGTTTCTTTAACAATTTCTCCGCTATCTTCTGTTGAAGAAACACTTAAACCTGTCTTATTCTTTTTGTTTTTCTTTTTTTGCATTTATATTAATATTTATATTTTTAATATATTGTATCAAAAACTTAATTAATTCTAAAATAAAATAACATATTTTTTTACATCTATTATCAGTTATTAGTACTTGTTCTATATTCTCCATTTCATCTATTATATTAATATAATCTGAATAACTCCTTTTCATATTAAATAATAAGATAAATTATTTTTAATTTCTGTCTTTCTTTTCTTGTAAAGTTTTTTCATTGTATCGTCCTTATTCCATCTATATCCCACAAATTTCTGATGATGTTTTGAATTTAGATGTTTAAATAAATATTTGTCATCATAAGTTTTACCACAACTGCAATGGATAATAGTCATATAAATAATAAGATAAAATA